TAATATGCATTTTTCAAACAACAGATTCGGGTTTGTTTGTTTTTCTTGCTTCAATTTGTTAATTTCCACACTGGTATTTTTTTATTTCCTTTATTCTGCATACTTTTGGTTTTCTTTGTTCTTTTACTGCTTTTTAAGGTGGAAGCTGAGGTTGTTGATTTGAAATCTTTTCTAATATAATCATTAAACTTTGCTCTATGTATTAAATGAGGTAGATCCCAACTATCTTGAAATATTTTTTAATTTTCACTCAGCTCAAAATACTTTTTTAAATTGTTTGGTTCTATTTTAACTCTTGAGTTACATATACAGGTTTTAACTGGTTTTCAAGTATGTGAGGAAATTTGAGAGATGTTTCTGTCATTGGTTTATAATTTAATTCCACTGCTGCTGTACTGAAATATAACAAATCTTACTAAATTTGAGAGTAGTATCTCTTTCACTGTGGCAGCCAGCACTACACCGATACTGTTTTCCCAGTTAGGTTATAAGCTTCACATGGGCAGGGCATGTTCCCAGTACTTTGTATAATGTCTTTTATGTGTGTGTTTAATAAATGTTCATTATTATAAATATTAAAAGGTCCCACACTTCAAATACATTCACAACAGGAAGTCAGGCTTCAAAATATGAATTTGGGGGGACACATTCAGTCTACAGCATAGGAGAGGAAAAAGGAATTCACAAAGAACACATCCCTACTTGGTAGCAATTTTCTTTTTCAATACCAGATCTGGAAGCCCTATAATGGGGCTAATATTAAGGTCTAAGAGTCTGGAAACATTCCAAAACCAAGACTATGACTGTTACTTTGAAGAATGCCATGAATGCCAAAGGGATTGATGGGGTGTATAATCTTCTTCTGTATTTCACCAACTTGGGACCTGACTACGCAAATGTTTTGTTGCCGAGTGGATGGGACAGCCATATTTCTCTGTACTTACCCAACCCAACTCTATGCGACTGGAAATGGCCCCAAAGGGGAACCTTGGTCATTTCATCTTGCTACCATCACTATCACTGACTTCAAGGGAAAAGATTTATTTTACAATTAATGGTAAATGGGGGTCATGTGAGATTGCTGCTGAGTGGAGGGGAGTAAATAAATGGGTGTTACAAAAGCCAGTCGTCTAAGATCACATTGGTGCCTTAAGAGAGGCTCAGAGCAAGTGAAAAACATGCTCTCTTAGCTTAGGCTGAGATGCCCCTTGAGGCAAAAGACTGCCAACACTTCCTCCACCTTTAATTTAATGAAGGAGCTGTACCATGGCCAATCTAATAAGCATACTTCCAGGGTTGATCGAAGTCCTCCTAGTCAATGAACAGATCAGAGCTCAGATGATGACTATATGGAAAGATATCAAAGTGGCTGTCTCTTACGTTCTCATTTCAGGGAACATTATGTCTATAGAGTACAGTAGGCCTAAAGAAGATTTAGACTTAATTGATGACAGATTGATTAGGATTCTTAATCATGCAACAAGTGTATGACATAAAGTGCTGATACCTATAGCTCAGGGAGGCCTAGAAATAGTGTAAAAATATAAAAATATGAGACAATTTGTGCCAGCATTATAGGGTGGCTTAAATTATATAACTACTCACTGGTTATTACAACTCTGAAGTCTGTACATGCATTTTGTCTATTTGATTACACTGTTGAAAGGCAAATGACTGACTGCTGTCAAACTGATTTTTTTTGTAAAAGGCTTTAACCAAAAACCAGAGGGTGAACTGTGCTGTGAGGGTTAAGTCCAGCAGACCTGGAATAGGCCTGAGCTAAAGTATCTGTACATGGCTCTTCACTACTCAAGGAATAAAGACACTGTGTTGCTTGTAACCACGGATCCAAGATGTATGGGGGCAAGTTTTAACAGCTTATCAGCAGTGTTTATTGATAACAGTGCAACTGATAATTTATACCTGTTCTGAGACCTTCATAGTCCTCTGCTGTTGGGGCTGCTTACATAGCAAGCACATGCCTACATATACCTCACATGTAAGAAACCTCAGCAGTGAATACATTTTTGGCTTCTGGCCAGTTCTGTGCTCGTTGGTTCTCACCTAACAGTGAAATTATGTCTGTTCAATGGAGAAAACTGGGAGCTCCTACCTGGTCTTGATCCAAATCCCATGTTCTGAGGCACTCTTTTCCCTTAATAAATTGTAAATTTGTTAAGTATTGCCATTTTGGGTTCTGAGTCTTCTTTAGCAATTTCACCCTATTTAGCTGTCACTGTTAGTGTACTACATTGTTTGGATGTGGCCCTTTCTTAAGTGTAACCTTTTTCTCTCTTGTGAGTTACCTATCCATAAGGCATGTATAATCTAGTCCTTTTTTCATGTGTATTCAGTGGTCCCTTTTGTTCCTTTTTTCTGCTTTCTCACTGTATTTGTTGGTTAGTATTTCTCTTGAATTCACAGTGCACTCTGCCACCAATAATCTTCTTTGATTTCCTGAGCAAACAATAATCTTCTTCCTGTTGAGCACAGTAGGGACTTGGTAACATTCTACCTGTGCTGTTGGGTTATCTTCTATCAGAGATGCATGCCTGTTTT